TCTGATACTAAAACAGTTTGGTTTTATTAATATCCTAATTGTTTTCCATTATAATAAAGAGTAGAAAAATGCAGTAAATGACTCATAATAAAAGGAGCATTGAGAGACAATATGCTGAATGTATTAAACCATCTTTCTTTCAGGGTCAGCCGGGTAACAGCGGTCCTCAGGGAAGACAAGGACCTCCTGGACCCATCGTAAGGCTGCGGTCATTTCAGTCCCGTCGTCTTTTTGTCCTGTCTTCAGTCACTTCCTCTTGTTTTTCTCTCTTTTCTCTCAGGGAGCTCCAGGAGCTCCTGGAGTCCCAGGGCCCAGTGGACCAGCGGGACCTTCAGGTGAACAAGGAGTGCCTGTGAGTTCAGATTTTTTTCCTTTAAATGATGTTTCAACCCCCAAAAAACAACTTTTATTTAACATCTAAATATTTTTCATTAATAACTCTTTGTTTTATTTTGAGACGCTTGTTCGGCCAGACCACACAAACAGTTAAACAGACAGTAGAGGTACATCTATTAATTTTTATGATTCTCTATGCCAATTTTGTCCAAACTTTAATCTGCCATTAATAACTTTAGCTGATTTCAGATTCATTTTAATTTGATAATCTGTTTAATAGCATTCACCATATTTTTCTCTTCTCTGTTTCTCTTCGCCTACTTTCCTGGCTTAGCACTTTCAATTAAAAAGCCCCTAGAGCCAAAAAAAAAAAGTACATTACCTCACAAATTTAGATCACCTAAACTATTCACTCATCGGTCTGTTTTACTGATTTTTTTTTTTAACGTGAAAAAGCAAAACAGAACAGTGCGCTGTAAAAACCTAAAGATATTAACAGGTGGCATGCATTCATTCCCTCTGAGTCAGTTTCTTTTATGGTTTCCTATGAGCAAGGTTTTCATAAACACCAGGTTAGTGGAATAAAGAATCAATAGTTAAATTTTTGCGTTCATTGATCTTCATGATTCTGCTTGTTCTCAAATATTCTCTAACAAATCTATGAGGTCAGATTTATGCTGAGACCAAGTTACACACTTGTGGTCTCTCTGTACCAAATAAGTTAATTCAGAGGCCGCTTGTTGCACTAGGACTTCTTTAGGGGTATCAGAGTAAAGAAGACACATTATAAATACACTGAAAACCAGTGTAAAACATTGTAAAATATATAAAAAAAAAAAAAACATAGATTGGGTTATAAACATCCTAATTCTGCACTGTTAAGGTAAAATCCCAATGACAAAGTTTTTCAGAGAAAAGTTAGTGATATGAATACTTTTTCAAGACACAGCAGTGTGTTAATATTGATATAGTAACAAGGCAAACCTCTTGTGTGTTGTGCTTCTTCAAGTGATTTTTTTTTTTTTATGTCTAACGTGAGTCAGCGTTTATGCCCTCGTGTTTTGTTCTGCCTTTCAAAAGAAAAAGAATTAGCGCAAGCAGCACAACATACACAAGGACACTGAATAGTCTTCGAGACGATCCGAACTGCGTGTGGCGCTAACCATAACGGATGACACCGTGGTGTTGCTGACAGCTAATCTAGTCCTGGGTCAGCTCTCTAGGCTGGCAGCAAGTTTGGCTCGCAGAGTCGATCCATAAATCACAGACACCCTCCCCATCGCGCACACATTTAAAAAAACACACACACACACACACACACAAATCCAGAAAAAACATATCTATAAGAGATTGCATCTGCTTTCTGTCCAAGATTCAAATAAAATCCATATGAATTTCTGCACCTCCTAAAAGTATTCACTTCAAATTACGATTATTTTACTGATTCTGTTTTCGTCTCTATGTAGTTTCTTTTTCATGCCGTTTATATTCCAAATACAAGCATCCAAGTGAATCTAGAGGGAATTTGACCAACTAGGTTTGCTAAGTTGGACATATCCAACTGAGAACTTAATTAAATGACAATTGATTTATATCCGTGAAAGCTTAATAGCATTTAAAGCTAGAGAGGGACAGATCTTCAGTTTCTGGTCTTGGTCGACCAAAATGAAACCCAAACAGCTGTTTTTAGGAAAGAGAGTGGTGCATCTGGAAATGCTCTGCTTCATCTATCAAGATCAGTAATGATGAAACTTTGGGATTAACCTTTTAATAGAGATGAACCGAGCAGATTTGGTTTACTGTTTCATCAGCTCTCCTTGGGCCATATACAAATAAATGTGCCAGACTGTCGAAGCTCCCGCTGACATCCCTATTCTGCGTCGGACGTGGATCAGGCTCTGACTCTGAATGTGGTTTCCAGTCATCCAACCACCTGGAGAGTCTTTTTGAAATTGATCTTGCTCGACCTGATGGTGAGCTCCCTCACGTTTGCCAACTTTGAAAGAAATGAGCTCAACTATCTTCTTGGGAGTGCTTAATCAGTTCACGTTTGACACCAGAGAGGGAGAGAGGGAGAGAGAGAGAGAGAGAGACAGGAAAGTCGGGGGAGGGATCTGAAACTCAAGGTTTATAGTAAAAATATTCTGAATTCTCTTATTGGAGAAACCCTACACATGCGTGGAGTGAAGGAAAGTCAGCTCTGATCAATAATAAATCAGGTTTTTATGAGCGGTCCTCACATTGCCATTATGTAGCATGGTTTTCCATGGCAACCTGATAAGGCGGCAGACATTTATGTGTCTGGAAAGACTCGTATGATCCTGGCTCGCCGGAGAGGTCCAAGACGAGAACTTTTACTGTTCAGGTTGGCTCCTTCGTCCAGCAGCTGTGTCAGACATTGGCTAGACCTTTCCCATCATCGGCTGATTCATACTCGGTTAATTTTTTAACTCAGTCGTCGCCCTTGCACACAAGCACAATCAGACAGCAGGTGGTGGTGGTGGTGGTGGTCAAGAACATTTTTCCACTCAAACTAAACAAGTTTCCATTTAAAAGTGGCAACAGCTTTTGAATAAAGTATTTTCAGCTTTTTTTTTATTTAATGGACAGAGCCCTGTGGCCAGGAAATGTCTTTTATATGCCTCTGGATTACAATGACTGATTTGCTCATGCTTGGCGTATGCGTGCTGCTTCTCCTTGGTTTTACAGTGTTGACAGAAAGTACATTTATCCAAAGCCCAGATGTCATTTTCTGTGAACTATAAACTTTGAGGCTTATTGCACTGCATTTGTCCCAATCTTTTATGTTTTAGTAAAGCCAATGAGACAACAGATAAAGTGCTGTGAAGAAAAGAACTGATAAGAGTGACAAATGGTGACATTTGTGAGAAGGAAATAAAAATGACTGTTTCTGAGGGACATGTGTTGTGAATGACTAGACACCCAACTTAGAGATTTTTGTGAAGCATTTTTTAAAAGATCATTAAATAAATTTTAATATTGGTTAAACATAATCTAAGTTAATACTAAATTCCAGTTTTGAGCAATAATTTTATCTATAAAGGGCAAAAAAGCTCATCGGGTAAAATAATTGTTTCCTAAACCTAAAAACTAGCAGTGTCATCCTTTTTTGTAACAACTGTCTTCAGTTCCCTGGCAGCCCTTCTCAGATTTTTAGATTTCATTTCTCGTCTGTTCTTGAAGTTCTGCACATTGGACACGATGTGTGGCGTTTTGAAATATTTTGGCCTGCTTCCTGTTGTCAGACAGGTTCTATTTAAGTGATTTCTTGATTCTGCATGTCAGATTGTAATCTTGCATAAGGACTGAAAGTGAAAATGTATCAAAATTTTCAAGAAATGAGCTTAAACTGAGTGAATCAGTGATTCAAAAAGAAGGCAGTTTCTTTTTCCAGATGGGAGCAGATTTGCTTAAATAGCTTTTTTTTTTTCCTGTTAACAGATGCAATCCTTAGTTTAAATCTCTATTTTGTGCTTATTTTTTTACTGTTTTGTCATCTTAGTCTGACATGTGTTTGATCTGAAACATTAGCTGTGATGAAAAAGCTAAAGCAGCAGAAACCTGCAAGGAGACAAATATTTCTCCACATCACTGCATCCTAAATAAATGTTATTTTCTCCCTGTGCTTTCATCTTTTCAGGGTCTTGCTGGTACCAAAGGCGATAAAGGAGAGAGAGTAAGCTACTCAATCTGTACACGTTAGCTGCTGTTAGAGCGATATTCCAGTAGACATGTTGTCCCTTTTCTTCTCTAAAACCCTCAAAGTTTTTCACTTATGGCCCCAGCTCTTTCTAGAAGAAATCACATTTCTCTGTATGAGTCGCTGGCTCCTTAACTCGAACAGGCAGCTTTTTCCATACCGTGTCTTCATGCTTGTTTAAAGCGAACCAAATCAAATTGGTGTTCATGGAGCACCAAGGGCAGTGTCTGGATTTTTGCTGACAAAAGCGAGGACGTCGACGCCAGCGGCTTTGTAAGACACGCTCCTCGCCGGCTTGAATCAAAACTAAACGTTGGGGACGTTTGTACCTCGACGCAGCTAATTTTAGCTTCAAGAACCGAGATGAAAGGCGTTTAAAAAGAAAAAGAGAAGATTTTTCTCCTCAGAACTGCGTTTCTGTGAGTTGGCCCAGTTCTCATCAAAGATGGTGGTAATATGATGAGGATTTCTTTTTTTACACTTTTGATCAGCCCTTCAGCTGACCTTTTCATGTTTTCAAGTCACAAATAGGAGCAGCTGATCTTATTTAGATCCCTCTCATGGAGTTTTAAGAAGGAATCAAACATTGCAATAACCGTAAAATAACATAGAAACCTAAAATCACTCATGTTGTTAGATTACTTTGTTCAGAAAAGATAACATTTGTTGATGAATTTCCCCAAAAATGGTTCACTAAACAAAAAGGTATTTTTTTGTCTTTTGTTTCTGTTCTTTAATATACAAATATCGAACTGAAATTCCAGGTATTTCAAGAGTTAAGCTCGGCTTATTGAAGATACAGCTCTGAATTAAAATTACGGGACCACTTAACGTGTTCAGTTTCTCTGATTTTACTTTGTATATGTATATGTTTGAGTAAAATGAACATTGTTCTTTTATTTTATGAACTACTGACAACATGTCTCTGAAATGCTAAGCTAAAATTTAGTATTTATTTGCAGAAAATGAGAAATTGTCAAAATAAAAGATGCAGCGCTTTCAGACCTCAAATAATGCAAAGAAAACAAGTTCATATTCATTTAGAAACAACAATACTAATGTTTTAACTCAGGAAGAGTTCAGAAATCAGTATTTGATGGAACAACCATGAGGTTTTTAATGGGGTTCAGCACAGTGGGCTCTTCATTTTTTCCAGAGCTGTATCTAGATTTTTAACATGTAAATGAGAAGTGCTATTTAAATTTATCATTTTTGGAAAATATAAATGTAAAAGAATCAGCTTGGAATGAAGGTTGGCAGTGCTAATTAAACACCATTTAGATCTCACCCACCCATTAATCAACCTCTGGTCTGACGGTTATCGTCCCCATGGCTGCTCAGATGGAAAAGTGCCATTTGTCTGCAGTGTGTAGAGCTGTCCATTTGTTCTTCAGGGCGATGTGCAGTCCCAAGCAGCAGTGAGAGCAATTGCACGGCAAGTGTGTGAACAGATCATCCAAAGTGAGTCGTTGATTTTAGTTTTTTTAATTACTGTTTTTTTGTGTGTGTGTGTGTTAAACTTTCCATAAATTTGTGGTTTTAAAAATGATGGGGAAACTGTTCATTTTCCTAACCGTTTCTGCTTCTTCTAGGTCATTTCTCCCGCTATAATTCCATCTTGAACCAGATTCCCCAACAGTTTTCAGGATCGGTCCGAACAGTGACGGGGCCGCCGGGCGAGCCGGGCAGGAGAGGCCCTCCTGGGCCCCAGGGAGAGCAAGGCGCCCCTGGCAGACCCGGTTTCCCCGGTGCTAATGGTCAGAGTGGCCAACCGGGTGAAAGAGGTGAGATAAGTAGATGCTCTCATGGAAAAAATACTGATGCTTTCCCTTGATGGATTTGTACTAAATTATTTAGATCTTATTTTGCCTTGTTTTGTGTTTATGTAATCGGAATATTTTTTTTATCTAATCTTAAAACAGTAATTTGTGCTTAGAAATAACTTGGGAAACCTCTACATTTGTTCTTAAATGGCTGACGTACGACAGATGAATAAGTTGAGAATATTGTTACTCATCATTTTGAAGGAGGTTTTCCCTGTTTACCCTGCACACATTTAACTACTCGAAAGTGAACAACATAAGATCAGTACTTACAAGAATTTGAAACCACCCACTGAAATATTTGGAAAATCAACCCCAACTGGAGGACCTTGAAAATAATTATTTAACATAATTTTGGCCCTGCAAAAGGCCTGAAGGGTGAAGCGTAAACCACAGTTCACACCATGTGAACAACAGAAAACATTACCAATCAGGACTTTGACAATTGAAGCAGCTTTTAGTAACTCTGCTAAAAAAGATGCTGCTTAGTTCGATTTTTACTTGTGTCCCCTGCCTGCTGACATCAAAAGATCAACTTAAATAAATCAACTCATTCTAAATGTTCCCCATGCCTGATTTTACCCACGATAATTAGTTTGTATATCAACGTGTTATTTTCACCTATTAAACATCATGTATAGTCTTGGATAAAGGTAGTGATGAACTACGTTGTCGTCATATTGTTCTAATAGCTAAATTACTCTTAAACCCTTTTTATTTGCAGTTCTCACACATTTCTTCTTGCTTTCTTCTTCTCATTTGATAACGTATAACTCCTCACTTCTATCTTTTTGTTTGCCGATGTGTTTTGTGCTGGTATGTAATGGCATTATTCATTGGTAGCAACGCTCTCAGTTGCCTTGTTCTTGGTTTATTTATCTTTTGTTTTTAAGATCTAACTCCAAAACAATCACTAAATACTCATTTAATGTTCATGCAAAAAGGGTTTATTTAAGTGCTAGCTTGTAGTGCATAAATTAAAATGTCAGAATGAACAGTATGGTTTCTACTACCACTATCAAAACTTCAACTAAGTGCTTTACATGGATGAAGAACAAATACAAACCATAGATATGCTAGGAGACATTCAGCAGACCTTTCTGCTCACACTGCTTCTTTGTCTGGGAGTCATTCTGCTTGTTTGCAGTGTTTTGTGTTTTTTCTCCCTCAAATCACATTAAAGACAGTAACTTTGGTACCCATGACATCATTCCTTAGAGGACAGACGGTGTTTATGAGTCTCTGTCCTAATAACTGAGACATGTAACCCATGCTAAAAAAAAAAAAAAAAATTTGAATGCAGCCTAGATGCACATAAAGAGCTGGGAAAAATTAAGAACTGCTGAACGTTTGTCCAGCTATGACTCGTCCTCGTCAGGGGTGGAGTCCTTCGAGTCTTTCCAGTAAAACGTCGAATCTGTTGCCACTGGTCCTCAGCGCACATAAAAGCCACATTACAGTTTAAAAGCTTAACCTGCACTCAGACAAAATCGTGCAACATAAGAAACTCGTTTAGTTTTATGTATCAGTTTAAAAAAGTTAATGCACAGACTTTCAAGACGGAGAATGTCTCTTTATCCGAGGTTATGACATTCATTTTCTCCATTAGAACGGTCATAAAAGAAGTAGGACAAAAAAATCTGCAGATCAGATTTTAATGTGGTTCTATAATATTTGAAAAAGGACACATTAAATCACTCAAACAGGCTGCTTTTCTGCACAGCAAACTGCCCGGAGACGCAATTTATTCAGCTCATTTTCACAAAAAACAAACATGAAACTGATTTTGAAATAAAAAGGATTTTAGTCAGTGGTTCAATTTGTAGCCACATTAAAGTGGGTTAGCAAGGAGTCTTTGATTCCTGCCTGTGAAACCTAATAGTGACATGTGACAGTTATATTCATTCCTGTTTCAGGAGTTATATTCATTCCTTTTCCCAAAAATAAAAAAAAATGTACATAAAAAATAATGAGAATGAAAATGAACCAAGCTGGCAGAAAACAGAAGCTAACGGGAACACCATATCACACTTTAGCGTGTGACAAGAATCAGTCAGGACAACAGTAGTGACGGCTTGAAGTCTCCAGCTGGAATGTAAATTCATAAGACAAAGATGGAGATGTTGCTTTGTCCAGGGAGGAGGGGAAAGTCAGGGGACCTGTTGTCCTTGACAACCAAATCTGCCAGCACTCTACTCAAGAAATTCAAAGATGTTTTCACAAACCGTGTCATTTTCCACGTGGTGAATGATCGTTTGTGACAAAAACAGAAATTTTTTGTCATCCATGTTGATGTTGTTATTTCTGCTCCAGTTCTGACCAGCATTATTACATTGACGTGTACAACAAAAACCCATTTCTGGGAAAAGATTGTTACCAGAACAGTGGCTATACTGAGCCAAATCGTGACGTGAAACAGAAGAAGTGAACGGAAGCAGATGAAAGTCTCACTTTCCTACACATGTTCAGTCCACGTTTCTCTCATGAGTGTTTAAGTGCACTCACAGTAATTGTGAACACTTTCATTCATTCTCCTTGAACTGCATTAGTCCATGTGAAGTTAGTTTTTCCTCACAGAAACATGTGGCTTAATTTCAAGCTAACGTTACATATGTTGTGGTTGGATGATTCACTGAGCTGAGTGAAAAAAATGAGTTAGTCCAGCAGCTGTAGGTAAACTCATGTAGAAGGAGTATTTAAAGAGTGGGCTGATCCATGGATGAGACATTTTATACTGGCACAAGACATTGTGAATTAAAAAGAAATCTTATCCACAAACATTTCAATCCTCTGGCTTTTGTTGCAACTAGGCCTCTCTGTCAGTGTTGTGTCCTCATCGCTCGGCTTATTGTGTTCGTACCTTGAAGAGAACATTCTTTTTCTTTCATAGTCCTTGGGTAAAAAGTGGTTTGAATGTGTAATCTTGCTGAGTATCTATGGAGAAAGGGTGTATATTTTATTCTTTTTTCACATTGCCAGTAAGTGGTCACTCATCCATTCAACATATTCCTGTTAAAAACATATTTTTCTCAAAACCTTTTTTCTTTTTACCACAATAGGCAGTTATGCTCTGCAGTTTGTTGTCATCCTTATATGGTAGTGCCATATAAGGTTCTTGTTTCCGAGAGCCTTTTCCTGGCTATAAAGGCTCTTTTTGTGTCAGAAAAGTGTTTTGAAAAAAATTGCTAATTCCTTCTTTAGGCTCTTATTTACATTTGCGGTAGGAGATAAAATTCAGAAGCTGAAGCTCTACTTATTCTGCAACGGATTATCACAGAGGTTTAGTAAAATCTCAAACTCTGCATTTCCAGGTTTGCCAGGTGAAAAGGGAGAGAGGGGGAGTCCAGGCGTTGGGAGTCAGGGACCTCGAGGACCACCCGGTGCACCCGGTAAGACACAACACAGTCCTGATCATGATGACAGATTTTTGAGAGCGCGCTGTTTTGCTTCAAACTCCAAAAGCAACCAATATATGACCTCGTAAACTTATTCTGTCCATGGGGATCATTTCTTATTTCCAGACAAAATGTTTGCACATTGGTCTTATTGTACAGCTTACAAAACCAGGATGCCTGCAATATTAAAACAAGACCTGAAGTTAGCCACAGCCGTAAAGCTTTTAGGATTCACTCTCTTCTGATTCTCAAAGAGAGGAAGGCGAGCAGCAGACATTTCAGCCCATGAATGTGATGCTCCGTATTGATTTTACAGAGTGCGGTGTGGAATTTGAGGTTTGTGTTATAAAAATATGTCGGTGCTGGTATTTTCAGCTTACTGTGATCGATACGCACAAGAAGACAAACTTTAACTGAAACTTTTCCATGGTTACATTACTGAAGAGGCAAAACATATTCGAACATACATCAAGCCTCAGTGTTTTTAGAGGAAGTTTTATTCTCTGTGCTTTTCTTAAATAACTGTGGGATAATAATTTCCGCACTTGGCGAAAGGAACTACCTTTAAAATATTGATATCCGATTCCTGCAGACTGCCGAGCAGTCCTAGCGGAGCAGTTTGTCCTGTGAAATCATCAAACAGAGGCCTGGGGCTAGATTTCAGCTCGGAGCTGCGTCGTTCCTCTTCCTGCCCTCAGGACATTCGCTATCATACTCTGTTATCTGGATAACGGCAAGCAGCCAATTGTAGCTCGCTAATTTTTTATATCATGTTGTTAAAGCTGCAGAGGCTGAAGCTTTTTCTTAATAGTGACAGGGTGTACCTTTGGTGCACTGTGTGTTGCTTTTTTTTTTTTTTCTTACATTTTCTCACCAGGTGTCTCACTGCTGCAGTCATTCTACCAAAATATCAAACCACTTTGCATGCGCAACCTACCACCCCGTCTTTAAATAGAAGCTGTTTCTCCATCTTCAGGCCTGCCAGGCGAAGGTCGGGCAGGCAGCCAGGGCCCACCTGGTCGGCCCGGGAGCCCGGGAGTGGCTGGTAGGCCTGGAAATCCAGGAGCTACGGGACCAACCGGACCACCAGGATACTGTGACCAGAACTCGTGTCTGGGATACAATGTTGGAGGTAAATATTATCCATTCGTCCCTGAACTACCTTTTGAATTTCTTTTTCAGATTGGAAACAAAATAGGACAATTACATTATAACTGTTATAAGACGTTAATATATTTGTTTATGGTGTATTTCACAAAATCGCATTAATGTGTTGTTAATCTTTTTATCTGGTTGTAGAACCCCACAGAAAGATGGTTACTTGGTTTATTTAGAGGGGCAATATTATGTGTTTTCCAGCCACATAGCTTCATTTTATACCTCAATCAAGCAACCGTTGCCTTCAGTTGTCGTAAAAATGCTGTATCTATCAAATATGACTGAAGATATTTGACTTTGTAATTTAACACCTTGACATTGGGTCTCTATCTCCAAGAAAGTCCTGCTCTTTCCAACTCAACGCTGTCAGAAAGCCATCACAGCAGGACTGCTCTATCAACATTTTAACATTTTTACCAGAGTTGCACTGAGAAGTAGCTTGTATAGTCAGCTCAGCAGAGTTGAAGGTGTTTGCTAATTGCTGCTGGCTAGTCTGAAGGAGCTGAGTGGGGAAATCACGGGGGAGAGGTGCTCTTTGAGACGGGAGCTTAGTATTTTGAATCTGCAGCTCAGAAGAGGCGCTTACTCCCCCTAGGTGTTTTGCAGAGCTGAATTGTTGCCACGGGAGTCTAAATGATTTCTCAAACATGGACGAAAAAATCTAAGCAATGCTCAGCTTAAGCTTTTGATGAGGGAGTAACATTATAAGATGAGAGAAAGCTCAAAAAAGTCGATTTCACACTAATCTGCCCCTTTAAGACATGCATCTGCTTCGAACCACGTTACATTATAACAGGGTTTGTGTATCACAGTAGAGAAATGCCCCATGCTTTTCTTCTGCGGTCATTAGATTAAGATCCGAAAGAAGAAACATGTGTAGAGTTTCCTGAAACAAAAAGGTCGTGAATGGAAGTCTGTCGGAGCAAAGCATGCGTCGGAGCCAGTGTCTTATTGTTGCCAGTCATTTTGCTCTTGCATGCTGTTCCACATATGCTGCACATCAGAGAAAGTGACTGCTGGCCTGTTGGGTCTTCAAGCTTTTTTTATAGACAGACTATGGTTTAAACACTGTGGATGACCAAATGGGGACGGGGATCACCCAGCTGGAGACATCACATGGGAGTGTGCCTAAGAAGCAGAGTAACGTCATGACGGGGATGAGTGGATGTGATTTATGTGGGAAGACAATAGAAACCGGATGGTTCTCTGTTCCTTTTTTCTTTTTTTTAATTCCCACCTCAGAAATGTGAGAGAAACATGGTTTTAATAATATTAAGGTTTGGATCCAGTTCTGCAGATGTGTGAACACACGCATTACTGACAGAGTACAAGGCCAAATATGATCTGGCAGCTGAAGCCGAAATAACATTTTGACTGGAACATTCTGTTTTCATTATGTCTTTATCTTTTTTCACAAAACGCAAAATATGCAGACATCTTTAAAATATTTAGTGGTGTTTCTTTAAACTGGAATGCATCCTTATTTGTCCCGTCGTCGTCTCTGAGCGGCGTTGCTGAAAATATCTTCTGCTCTTGTTGTTCCAAAACATCGTTGCCAGTCTGGCCTTAATGTGTCTTTCCATTTAATAAAATGCGAGAAAAGGCAGCGACAGTCTGCCCTCAGATAGTTAATGCTCTTGTAAAGTTCTCAGAGTTGGATATGCATCCGACTTTTATTGTTGGAAGTTTATTCATTCATGCCCACACAGACAGATTAAGGACTTAACAGGTCAACGCTATTTGTCTGTGTTGAAATCTAATAAAATATGCTCCTACACAGATCCGGGCCCGTACACGGTGGCATGCGCAGCGTCTCTGAATATTCATACAGATGATGATCTTGCAGCCCTCTGCAAAGTCCACAGCTAAGAGCCGTCGCGGCTACGATGTCGTACGTCATCTGTGAAAAGTAGCGGATGGATGAGACATTATTTTATCCATCAAAGCAGATTTATTTAAATAGATTCAACTCTCAATTGTTCTTTTCCCCCCATTTTGAGTTTAAGAGTCTCATCTGCCGCTTTGAACAATTCGAGGTTTAAACTGAGCCTCCCTGCTCAACCACTTCAAAGGCAGAGTTCAGTTTAGAAAGTTTTCATTTTCCTTGACATTTTTCACTTTAAGTGAATGTTTTCCTCCCTGCCAACCAACTACGCTGCATCCAGTTTTTTTTTTCTTTTTTCAGTTTGTATTTTAAAAGCCAAAACCAATTTTCATGACGTTTAGCTGGTACACATTATTATTTACTTTGATATTGTACCCATTAAAAAAAAAAAAAAAATCCTACTAATTGCTAGTAAGTAAAGATTTGATTTGAAAACAATGAAACATGCAGATTTGAGGGAAAAACATTGGGTTAGCATAACAAAGAAAGAATAAAAATAAAGAATATAAATGAATTGTGAAACAAATGGATTTAATTGTATTCACAACATTAAAATTGCTGTGATTATAGATCTTAAGTTTAGACCAAAGATAAAATATGTTGTCTGTGTATGTGTGGCTTTCTAAATATATAAAATAGGACATTTCACAGACGTATGTCTTGAAATAAACCTTCTTCCAGCCTCATTAACACTCCACCACTGTATATAAAGCACAGTGGTGGCGCTTGTTAGGCTCTGGGGCTGTTGAGCTTCTCTTGTACAACACATAATGAGGAAGACTACCTCAGATTTCTTCAGCATAACATCAGACCAGACGGGTAAAACAAGAGAACACAGTGCTGCCAACATTACTATAACCTGGTTGGAGAGGATATAAAGCGAAACTAAACACAATCTTCTACTATTATTGTATCCAATATTTAGATTTCAGCGCTAGCTGCACTCTGGACGCATTAAAAACATCTGAGGCTGCCGCTTGATAGACCGTCCCTTTGAACATTTTACCCTCCAGCAGAAACATTATTTTTTAGATTCAAGTTACACTTGAATGTTGACTCAAGAAAGAACTGCTGACAGGTTCTTTCAAACATTATGCTTGGGTGTACAAAACTAACAAATTTCTTCTGAATTCACAACCTGTGTCCCTCACTTCATTTTCTGCGTCAGACGTTTTTATTTAAGCTTTCTAATAAGCAGAGGGAAAAATAGAGACTTGACACATTAAGCGTCTTGTTCTTGTGTCGCTCAATGATTTTCTGAAGGTTTGAGTTTCCGTTCTGTAAAAGAGATGGTCTGGGGTTTGTTTTTTTCACTTCCTAAATCCTAACCCAGCAGGTTTGAAATGGTTTGTCTGCAAGTCTTCGGTGTCTATGGGTTTTCCTTCTTCACGGGAGGTAAACTTCTCCTGTCTTTCTCTCCTCCTCCCTCCCCCCCTGCTCTCCCTTGTTCTGATTTGAAGTCCAACAGGATTACAGGAATGATTACTGAGGAGAAATCTCCAGCCATCTCTCCTCATTCTCCTCCCCACGTGCCCAGCTCCCTCTTTGCCTTGTTCAGAAACATCCAGTCATTCATTCCCCAAGAGGCCAAACGATAAACACAAAGCCTGATAAAGGGGCGGGTTCTAAATTCCAGCTTTCAGGAGCTTCTAAATCAGGGGTCTGCAACCTGTGGCTCTTAAAAACCTGACTAAGAGAATCCAGAACCGACTATTTTTTAAAATGCAGAACAAATGCAGATTTAGTTGTTTTTTGTTTTTGTTTTGCATGGAATTAATCCTGTATCAGCAGTATTTTTTTCTCATCATGATGTTGGAAACTAGTTTTTGTTTAAATCATTTTTCGTGAATGAAAAATGTTTTCCCATAGAAGAAAATGTTTTTTTTTTCTATGCAGAAAAAGTGATACATTTTCTTCCTATAAAAGAAAATATCCTTTTTGTCATTTTGTCCTGTTTTGTTGTTGTTGTTGTTTTAAACCCTAAAAGCAGAAATAAAACTGTGGTTATTTTAAAATTTCCTACAGTAGATAGGAATTTTTAAAAATGAAAATGTCTTTTTGCAAAATGTTATGTAACATTTATGGCTCTAAAAGAGTTTTATTTAGTTGGACTGTGTGCAAAATGTCTCTTTGTTTGTAAAGGTTGCAGACCCCTGATCTAAATCAGACTTCAAACATACACTGAATTTACAGAGAGAATCATTTTGTGCCAAGGTTAGCTTTAGTACACAATCTAACTGAATTTCTGATTGGAAACTGTTCTGCATTATTTGGGTTAAATAAAAAATTTGTCAGCAGTAATAGAAGCTCAATGTAAAAAGTCTCAAAAACCAACAAAAAAGAAAAAAAAAACCTTCCTCAATGCTGCCACCAACAATTGCACTGCCATTTATCAACAATTACTCATCTTCCTCCTCGTTCGCCTGCTTCGGGCTCAAATCTCATCACAGCTAATCACTTCTTTCAAAGCCCGATCAATCAGCTAAACAGTGATGAATAGCACTTCTTTCTGATTGTCTGCTTTTATCGCCGTACAGCCTGGCTTACCTGTGCAAATCAAATTCCGAGATGTGCTGAAAATCTGTCTTTTACCCCTGGAGTAAATGCACCCATTTTGATAACTGGAAAAAATTAGCACAACTAAGCTTTATTTAGCCTCCCTAAACTTCAATTAACACGACTTCTGACGCTGCATGTCCATCTGCATGCCTCACGTTCCTGCTGAGCTTCTGTTAGAAGTCCCTTACCATGCTTTAGCAACACTACATCTTGATTTTCATTGGTTGTGGCATCTAGCTTCAGTTTCCTTTAGCCTCACTTCAGTCGTGACCTTAAATATCCCCTCCATACCACTCCAGTCTCACCCCTGCCCCTCGGCGGCGGCCGCTACCAGCCCTACAATCCTCCCCACAGACAGCCGTACAATCCTGCTGCAGTGGCATATAACCACCACCGAGGAGGAGGCGAGGAAGAGCAAGACGCCTACTATCGTGGTTACCACTCCCAGTTTAACTACGGGCATCATGGGTACTTCCCAGGAAACTCTGAGGATGTGGAGCTAAGGTCACCTGGCGTCGTCAGGAGGTTTTGACAAAGCGTGGTCACGGAGGAGAACTTAAGAGGAAGAGCGGACTCACCTTAAGTGCTTGAGCCCCAAAAAGACGCTACACACACACACATACCTTGGATGTGTGCACTCATCTGAAACTGTGGTGAGAACCCAACACCCTGCTGTGGGTTTTCTCCAAGGTTTAAAAAAAACAAAACAAGCAAACAAAAAAAAAAACTAAATGTAAATATCTCTGTGATATCTGTATGATATGTGTGTAAAAGGGAGGTCCGAAAAGTGCCTGATCTGTGTCCGCTTCGTCCAGTGATAATGCAAACCTTGAACCGGTCGTTTTACACCTCACAGCTCTGCGAAGCTGCTTGTGTCCCGTCTGACTGGACATCAAGTTTCTGTAGCCTGAGGATTTTCTTTCTTCAAACCACTGAGAAAACAAAAGTGGCATCATTTGTACAGACTGCTTTTTCTAATGTAACGATACCCCCTGCACCAATTCTCTATTTGTGTGTCAAACTTACCTCCGTGTGCAGTATTGTTTTCTACTTTGCGCTTCGACTTTAGTTTCTGAACTGAGTTTGCAGAACCAGGTTTTATTTAAAAATTGAAGGCTGTTGCATTTTGTCCTGCGATACTTCATTCTCTTATCTCAAAATGAACAAAGTTTTCATACGAAAAACGAAGCTGGTGTGTCTTTTGTTGCATCCTGTTTTTTTTTTTTTTTTTTTTTTAAGGCCAATTCGAGCCCACTCTTTCTGGAGCAAGTAGCAGAAGTGTCAAATTCATTTTCATTTGTCCATAAATGTCCTAAAAGGCAGACATATCTCTGCATTGTGTATTGGTAAAACAACCCACTACCAAACTGTTAAAATGTTAATTTAAAAAAAGCTTTCTCTACATTCTATGAATACTTAAGATTAAATAATATTGAACATGTTTTCACAGATGTAATTTGGCAATATACTGAAAAACTCTGCTTCAATTTGATAAAATATTTGAGCACACGATTATCTTGAAGGTTCTATTCATGTGACGTTCACACACACGCACAAAAAAAA